TGGGCAGCGCCGCCGGCTGACGCAGAGCTGCTCCAAAAGCTGGAGGTGCCGTGAGGAGCGCCCTGAGTGAGACCCCGAGAGGAGAGAGCTGCGAGCGGCTGCTCGGGGTTTGGGTTACAGAAGCTCCGTATGCCTCTTAGAAAAGCATCTGAAAAGGGGCAGATTGGTATCCCTGGTTTTGCACGACACCTGCCTGTGATTTTAACACTTTCCTTCCTGGCACACTCCAGTCAAGCCTTTGAAAAGGTTTCCCAGACTGTGTCCTTCCTCACTGGGCAGGGGCAATCCAAACCAGTTCAATGCAGGCTCTGGGATTTTTTCAGCGCACTCACGGAGTATACGTGCTCTAAATGCCTACAATACAGAGGAATCCAGCTACTTCTAATGGGATGCATTTGCCGAGAGGAAGAATTCCTCATTTAAGATGGGCAATAAGCAAACAATATTTACTGATGAACAGCTAGATGCCTACCAGGTAAGATATCTTGGTTTGCATTCGGGGATGAAAGGGAGTAATCTACGTATGTTTATGATTTGAGTTTTTGTTTGGTGTGGGGAGTGGTGTTTTTCCAATATAATTGAAGTCTTTCTTTCTAACCTGCATGTATATATTCTACCCTTCCAGCAGCTGTAATAATATTCTAAGGCTGGGTTATTGAATATATTAATTTAATTCCCTCTCTGTATAGAGGGAGAAGGGTCACATCCTCAGTGTCTGAACTAGGAAGCAGAATAAAGATTGTGACTAGCTGGACAAAAGTGTAGCACCTTCTCTATCTGATGCCTTTTGCTGACAATAGAGCAGAAAGGAATAAAATAGATCTTGTGTAAATTCACTTCTCCTAAGGATGAGTCAGAGAAATATGCTTAGTGTAATTCCAGAATAGGTGTTGTCATAGTTGTATCCACTCCTGAAAAACAGTTTCTTACCTCATCGTAAGTAAGTGGGCATTTCATGTCAGGGGTAATTTGGTACTCCTTTATTTACTTAACATTGTATAAACTGCTTTTAAATAGGGTAAAAAGAAAAAAAAAAAAAAGGATCTCCTCCTAAAACATGTTTTTAGTCATGTTTCAGCATGCTGCAGATCTCACTGGAATGAATTTCAGAAAGCTGTCTGCCCAGCGGGCATCTTGAACAAGTTTCTGAAAATACAGTGAAGCAAAGCATTGAGTAGAAGTGTGCTCAAGAAGGAGGCAGCTAACTACTTATTAAGAGAGGCAGCCAGGGCTGGCTGCATTGCCCTTTTCTTCTGCATGAAGTGATAAACATTGAATTAGCAGCACAGGAAATAAAGATTTAGTTTATCTTGTGATAAACTAAAGATAGACCCTTAAGGGACTGAGTAACTTAATAACATTTTACCTTTGTGATCTTTGATTAAAACTATTGAAGTAGAATCTATTGTTTTAGTTACTAATTTTATTTCAATTCATTGCTAAAACGTGGACTTGTCAGAGGTGTAAATGTTGAGCCATGGAGTGAGGCCAGGTGTGTATGATAAAATGGTTACAACCGTTATCCCACACTGAAAGTAAGGCATAAACGAAATGCTTTTATAAATACCTAGTGGGGTTTTTTGTCGTTGTAGGAAATGTCACAGTGGGCCTTCTTAATTTCCACTTTGTTACACTTCTCACCAGCAGACTGTAATGCATTAATCTAAATTAATGATCTTAGACTTAACAGTCCAAGATCCAAAAAAGCTTTTTCGCATCCCTGCTGGAGAGGGGAGAGAGAAATCAAAGATCTGTGAAGCACCAGTCTCCCTACTAACAATAGAAGTGAACACAAAGCAGAGCACAACTGCAGTGAAACAAAACAAAATCCAAATGTAATTAATGTTATCCTCTTGACATAAACTGGCAAATGCAAGAGCTGAAATGTCATCCCTAATTCAGTGCTCTTCAAGTAGAAATTGCCTCTCTCTAATGGCTTTTGCAGCCCCTGCCTTTCATAATGCTGGGTAATTGATCTCAAAGCCTGGCAGGAGTTTGGCCCAGTGGATTGAGTCGCCTTTGGGATTTCTCTGTTACAGGCAGACTTGCAGTTCATTAGTGTAGAGCTGGACAGTTTTTGACTATGTTTGGCAAGTACCATAAAATAACAGGTTTCAGGACAATAACTGGCCTGCAGAATTTGTCAGGAAGGAGTATTAGCCTCATGCTGTGGAGAATCAGATAATGACATAATTTTGATGGTGATTTGCCTCTGATTTATTAGTTTTGCATCTCTGTCGAGTCTTTTAAACAAAAAGATCCTGGGCTGACTGCTGGAGCCACCCACACAGAGAGCTCTTGCCTCTCCACACCATCCTGGGGGAGACAGCACTTTGTACCTGGAGCTGTTTGGCTTGGAATTTGCTGTCTTACCTGCCATCTTCTCATTTGTGGAATTTCTTCAGAATAGAAAAAGGAAGAATGGGGCCACGTTTCCATAATTTTTTTAGTGCAGGTTTTTCATGTCTTGAGCCAGCAGCTGAGTTACCAGGGCCTCTAAACCATGGGCCAAAGTAAAGCACTGTGTACCACAGTCCACTTTGCACCAGTCTGTTGTGCACATCTGTACCCCAGTGACCAGGAAGGCATCTACATATAAATTGCTTTTATAAATTGATCATTGAGTCTTTTTTTTTTCCCTAAAGCAGTTGCTTGTGAATTTATGTGTCTGTGAGTTAGTTCTGTACTCCTTACAACAGTGGTCCAGTGATACTATGAACAGTAGTACAGTGTTCATAGTATCAGCATTCAGAAGCAAAAGTGTCAATCTTTTTTGTAAAATATATCTTGGTTGTTCTTTTTTTTTACTTCCTCACAGTTCCTATTGGTAGACTGTTCAAAACCTCACTCACCTCATGGTTAGACTTATAATTTCCTAATTGAAATCTGTTTCTGGACATTGTATTATCTGGTTGTCCCTTCTGTCTTTTGTACAAATTGCTTTGAGCTTATAGCACCTAATATTGTTTCAGGTGGAAAATTTTTATAATTAAAAAAAAATCATTGTGTTTTATGTGCTTGTTCCATAAAATACGCTATGGGGTGAAAAAGTGAGAAGTTCCTGTGCCTAAAGTATGGTAAAACCTGTGCAAGTGGCTTTGGCTTTAGAGAGTGAAGATTAAGCTGCAGAAAAATCACCTGCTTGAAAAGCTGGCATACATAAATCTCAGGTCATTAGTGTGATATTAATGAAATAAAAGAAATCAAATTGTTTGATTTATCTAAAACTTTCTGAAAAGCCTATATATGCACCTTTTTTGCATGTAAATTGTCATATTGAAAAGCCAGTTGCTAGCAGAACTTTTGACTTTAATTAAAGAATTGTGTATGTGGTCACCCACAGGGTATATACACCTCAGTGTTTTCAGTGGACAATTTTTAAATGCTCTTCATTAAGTTTGGTGGCCAGCTGAAAGTCTTTGTACAAGAGACCTGTGATAGAACTTGATAATACTAAACCATTCAGATTTGTTTGTTTTTTAAATTCAAGTAGGTAGAGGCAAAGTAAAGAAAAGAAATTTGCAGCTTTCCAGGCTTACACCTTGTCCTAACACCTGCTATTAAGATCATATCACCTGTTATTATCATAGCGTTCTTGTTGGCAGCTCTTTACATTTTCAGAAGATTGGTGAAATGTTTTGCAAATGAGGCTTTTGCTAGCACTGGGTTGCTCATAGACATTCACTCATTTAAAATACTGGCCTTCTAAGAAAAGGAATTTTACTGGGCATTTATGATTCTTATGCCCTTTTTTAATACAGAAAATGTGAAATCTAACCAAGGTCTGGTGAGGGAGAAGGTAAGTATTGATAGGCAAGAAAGATGGGTTTCGTTGCAATAAAAGAACATTTTAAAATTAAGATTTTAAAAGCTGCCTACAGATCTTGGAGGTCAAGTCTCATATTGAGAAAAGAAAATTAACTGAATTTTTAGGGTGTTTTGAGTGTGTACAGATGCTTGAAGCAATGGAAAATACAAGTATGCTGTAAAGCAACTTATTGATTCATTCAGAGCCATTTATTCGCCTCGATGCACAGCATTTCTAACTGTAAAACAATTGTATTGGGTAGGAAATGCAGAGAAACTGTACTTGGGTTGTGGACAAACTCCTGCACTGTTCAGTCAATCTCATCTCCTTTTCTGGGATTACTTGAATCAAGAGATCTGAATTCAGTACAAATTCAGTGATCCTTTTGTTTGTTTGTTTGATTTCCCTTCTAGAACCTAGAGATTATGAAGCTTATTACTGGTTTTATTGCAAGCCATTTGTATTTGTTCATTAATGGTATTGTTTACTCTGCATTATTTAATGCAGTCTCAAAACAAACTGATGCTTACCCTGGCAGTCTTATAGGTTTATTGCAATACAATATAGTATGATGAAGTAATGACTTTCTTCTTTTACACAAGAATTTCTCTATTACAAAGCTCACTTTTTCCTTTTATCAAAATTGACATCAAAGTGCAATTCAACTATATTTCATGAGCATTAAGCAAAACCAGATTAAACAAGTTATGTTATGATCTGTCAAGAAACACCATTTGTAAAGTAAAACAGGTTCATCAAGCTGTCTTTTAAAAAGCCATCCAGACTTCATCCAGGGTCTTGGAAAATTAATCCTTTGCAAGAATACAAGAAGTGCATTCATAGGTTCCCCGGGATGCTCTGTAAAAAGTATTTTTCATTTGATACAGTATTGCTGTTATTGTGCAAGTAAAAGTAGCATAATAATGGAGCAAGTTTTCTGTGAAAATATCCTTTGTCAGGTTCTTGTTTCATGTTACCATTTGGTGCATTTGTAGATTGAGCAAAATTACTTTTGTTGGCAGTTTGCTTTTTTTCAGTCCTTGCTAATGTCTGACTTGTTTTTACTCCCCTGTTGCCATATGAATATGTAAACAGGTTCTTACAGATGCAGATTTTTTCCTTCTGAAACTTAGTGGGTGTTTGGGTTGGTTTGGGTGTAATTGTGAATATATATGATGACAAGTAAGGATGAGCTGTGTGGTAAAATTTTCATTGGTGCTCTGATGCAAACAGCATTTTTAACTCATTGACTCTGTTAACTCTTTATACACTAACAGTGATGAAAATACATAAATATCTTGCAGACTCAGTCTTGCACAACTCCATGCCAGTCTTAGTCATGTGGAATGTAGAACAAAAGTATTGCATTTGTAAAACATTGCTAGAACAGAGTTAATAATAGATCTTACATAAGAGTTCATTTGCTTCTGTCTGGTACCAGATTCTTGGTTGCTTCACAGGATGATCTTTTGATGGTGTTTTGATTAAATGCTCTTTCACACATTTTGTACTTAGGCACAGTAAAAAACGTCATTTGCAATTTTAAAAATGAAACCTCTGTAGTAATTTGCTTTAACTATTACCCTTTAAGGTGCTGCAGCATCTAATAGCTAGCATTTTTTAAGAGCTACTCTCTCAGATAGCTATGGTTTACAGTATCTGCCTTATCTTTGAAGCTGGGTTTTTTTAATTTGCAGTGATTTTATAAGACTGATGAATATTATTTTTGTATTTATAAAAGTTTCCAATTAAGGTGTTCCAGGATCAAAGTAAACCTGACCTGATGAAACTATACATATACAAAGCAGAATATATATGTATTTTCTCAGAAGAGAAATATGCATTTAATGACTTTCAGAAATACTGTTTCACAGCATATTTGTGTATGTCTATTCTTCCATTCTGTTGTTCATTTCCCCAGTTTTTGTTCTGTAGAGGAATGTTTTGCATGCTGCCATGAAGGTAGCTTTGTTCCAGAGCTGCACTTTATACACAGTGCTTGTTTCTGGGAGTGGTGATTGGTAACCTCCCCTTCACTGCACTCTGTTGCCATTCACAGGCTGGGTGCTGCTCTCAGGACCTGGCATGGGCTGAGTGCAGCCACAGCTCCTGGTGTGCTGGATGGACACCCTGCAGGCGGTTCAGCATTGCCAGAGCATCTCTCTCTCCTTCTTTGCTTTGTTCAAATCACTGTAGAACTCAGTACAAAGCAGAACCAACCAAGGAGTTTGCAGTCAAGTCCTGCAGATGACTGGACAAGGTGGTGGACCACCATATGTCAGTCTGTTCTGTCATAAATCTGCATTCATCTGACAGAGGGAATAAAAGAATAAAACTAACAGCATGCGCATGCTGCTCTGCTATAAAAATGAAGTTTTAAGAGCAGAGACTGTTAACTGCGCTTTACAAGCAATGCTGAGTGACTTGCAGAAAGTCCAATTACCAGCCATGAGCCAAGCTACCCATGGAACCTAAATGCACCAGCTGTCTGCCCCTTCTATCTGCAAAGTATTTTAAGAAATAGTTAAGCCTTCTGAATGCTGAATTTGAGAATCAAGTCCCATTATGCAAGATCATGATCTCATAGAAATCAATGGGAAATGTCTTTTCTGTTTGCTTGGTTTTATTCACATTGTTACAAGACATTAAGTAGATAATTGCAGATTTGTTTTAGTGGTATCTTACCTCCAAACAACCATCAGTGATCCCATGTTGGACTTGTAATTTACTGGATTATTAAAGGCGTGAGGACAGACTGAGCAGGAGAGTTGATCTTGCAAAAGGTGCATGTTTGTTCTCAGGGCTGCAATAAGTGAGCTGTCAAGGCACAGCCTCTGTTCTCAAGAAGCTAAAGCCCCTGAGGGCCTGTTAGCAGAAGTTTTTCAGGCCACTGTATAGCACTAGAAAGAAAGGCAATAATTCCCAGGATCAATTCTTGCCATAATGCTGAACTGATAAGAATTATGAAAACTCTGGTAATATTTGTCTTGTATTCAGTTTGTGATTTTCTAGCAGGACTCCCAGACATCTTAGTGTACAGACAGAACAAACAGGTTGCTTTTTGTGCTCTTGGTAATGCAAAACACAAAATAGCAAATATGTTCTGTGATATCTCTGGCTTGCAGGAAAATCAAAGTTATCATGTGCATAAATGACAAATGCTTTCCAGAGCCAACTTCACCTTTCCTTATGAGACAGTGAATTTAACATGTTAATTTACTATTTATTGTTCTTCATTATGTATTTTTCTGTATGAATGAAGTAGCCAAAGAAAATTGGATGATTCACCTCCGTGTTTCTTTGGCTAAAAGTCTTTAATTAAATTGGAATTAAATTGCTGAAGTTCCAGCAACTATAAAATGTAATTATGTTATTTAGACCTTTTTTCCATCATGATTTTAATCCAACTGAGGGCTGTGATTTCAAAAAAAAAAAAGGAAAATTAACTCAGTCCTGCACCCCTTTCCTGCCATCAATAGATACTTGTTTCACCTTTGTCTCTTGTACCAACGCTATATTCTAAGTCACTGAAAGGAAATTATCCAAACTGAATGTGTGTCCATTATTGCTAGGTTCATTTACAAACACATTAGCTCCTTCCTTCAGAGTTCTCTGATATTCTGTTTATCAAGGTGAAGTCTGCATAAAGGAACAGGCAGAAATAAAGGGTGGGAGAAGCAAGAGGGATGGCTGGACTTCCCTATCAGAGGTCACATGGAGCTGTGGTTTTGCACTTGCCATTTGACACCAGACAGGCTTTTTTATGGTAAATTGTTTCATAGCTGGTGTCATCTGGCTGGATCAGGAGTTTAGGCCAGGTCACAGTGAGTTTGTGGTGCTTTGACCCAAGTGGCTTTAAGATCTCCCTTAAGAGTGAGACCATTCTTAATTTTTTTTGGCAACCTTCATCCATGACAATTCCATGCAATTGGCAGGTGTAATTGAAATAGAGCTGTCAGTAACAGTGGTCAGATAGATAGTTGTAACTGCTTCTGCTCTAGAGGTTTTCAGTATTAGTGGGGTTTAGGTTACATTAGTAAAAACTTGTTGATCAAAAAACAGGCAGGCAGCAGTGTTTATTGTCAACATCATGATGCAACTCAGAATAAAATATAAAAAATGTGTGGACTGGCAGCAAAAATGGATCATTATCTGACCTAATTTCTCTTCCAATAGCATTTTTGCAGGACTTCTGCAAGGTAAAGGATAACTTTTCCTTTTAATCTTTGTCTCCATTTGTATATCGCTTTCCTGTCAGCTCTCTAGTTAAGTGGCTGCTGTTTTCCCCAGCCTGTATAATTACAGATGATTGCTGCTGAGGGCATTGCAGTTATTTGTGAGATTACACCTGCCCTTTCTTATTCAATGAGGCATCCTTAAGTGACAGTTTGACTGCGCTGATTGTGTGGAATTAAGGAAGACTTGACCAGCTGGCTCCAATGTCACTTTGTGCAGTTGCAGACAATGTGACATCAGTGTCAGCAGCTCCCAAGGTGCTTCCTCCTGGGCTTTGTAACTGCACAATCCACTGGAGGAAGAGCTGCTTCTCTGGGTCTGTGCATGGAGGAGAGCAGGGCAGCTCAATAATTGATGGCTGCGGGGCCGATCGCGTTCCTGGACACCCGAGATGGGCTGTTGGCTGCTGCCAGCAAGGGATCCTTTGCTTCTCCCCTCCTTGGAAGAAGCCGGCACTTAGCCCCAATGGGTCTCAGCTTGAGAAAGAAATACTTTTTCACTGGTTGACTGAAGAGCAGGATTTGTAGAGGCAAAGTACTTGTATGTAACCTTTAAGGATGACTTACCAGTCTGATAGTGTTATCTTGTCACAAGCTGATTTTCAAAGATGGTATATTCTAAATATCTTTCCATTGAAGGGGGGAAATTACAAAGATCTGAATTGTTAGGCACATGCCCTGCCACATCACATGGGGCTGTGAGAGAGGTGGGTAATCATATTGCCCGATAGATAAAGGACACAAAACTCAGAAAAGTTTTGTGCTGTTCTTTATTAAGGGCCCGGGAGCCTGCGGACTAGCGTCCCAAATCAGAGCCCCAAATTTCATGTACAGGTGCTTCCCTTTTATATACACGCAATTCATAACAAGGCCTCCAAGAAACAGTTCCCTTTGCCAAGAGACAGACCCCTTGTGATACATTCCTTAGTTCACAAACAAAATCATAAATTTTCTGCTTGTCTTATTGTATGCTGCCTCCAAACAGGTTAGCATTCTTACTTTCCTACACTGGTTTAAATGTTTATTAAGTTTCTAAGACTACCTGCTAAGTTACACACAGACTCAACACATAATATCAACGGCTACAAAACTATTTTTAACAAACCAATTCACACACACAACTCATAACTAAACTGTAATAAAACATTTTGCTAAATTTCATTTTTTTTTCCAACAATCAGGAAGAATTTTCTGTGTTGGTGGCTGTCCCCTATATATACACCCTCAGGAGCTGGCTCAAAGATCAAGTTACATATTCTCTGAATTGATGAATGATGTTCTCAACTGATTATCAAATATTTCATTACCACTAGTGTTCCTAGTCTTGGATGCAGGGCAGAATTTCCATTAAATGTACTAGGTAAGAGTGGAGATTAAAGGATTGTTTTTGAATGGGATGGGACTGATTATTGTTTCCTCACAGCACCTGAATTTATTTTTTTTTTTTTTTTGTGACTGAAGTAGAAAGGCATGAAATGCAAACTCTGCCACTGCTCATATTCTGGATCTTTGATGAAATGTTTGAATTCTGTTACAGAAGAGATGTTCATTAAGTGAATTAAGCCAATGTCAATTCAGTCACATCACAGAGCCATTTAGAATGCAAGTGAATGCTTGTATGCTCTTCTCTCATGTCCAGCAAGCTCTACTTTTGCATGTTAGTTATTTCTAGTTCTGTGATAGCACAGGGAGAGCTGAATGGTTTGCTGCTGTTCAGGGCAGGGGCTGTCCATTTATCCATGCTCCTAAAAGAGAGGAGTTTGCAGCCTTCAGCAAAGTGACCACAGTGTAAACTGATTGTTGGCAAAAAGGGTTAATAACTAATAAATAACCACATAATTTTATTATTAAAATAATTGTCTCCAGTTGTCTCCAGCAGGGGCATACTTAAAGTAAAAGACAGTTTTTGTCATCAACAACAGATTGTTGTTTGTAGTTTTCCATATTTTTAATGAATACTTTTGGCACATACTATCTATTTTAGATTTAATTTTATTTCTGGTCTTGTCATTCCACTTTGGAGAAGTTTCTCAGCAACCTGATTTTTCCTCCTGAGCTACCACACTATCAATATCTTTCTTTTTACTGATAGGCCTATCCTTGAAATATTTCTGCTATTTTATAGTGTACATTGCTTTCTGAGTCAGATGTAGATGGCACCCAAACAGCATCTCTAAAGTTTCTCTGTCAGATTTGAGTTTCCTTCCAAAAGGTTGAGAAATAACTCTTTGCAGTTGTTTCCAATATTTCTGTAGTACAATGACATATTTTGTTTCTTTAACAGGACTGCACGTTCTTCACTCGGAAGGAAATCCTTCGGTAAGTAAGCTCTTAAATTTCTCCTTTGTGATCCATGTGGAAGGGGCTGAATCTTTTTATCTGACTTGTGAGGAAACCAGATAAAGCCTGTTATTCTGCAGGAATTAATTGTAAAGAATAGAGTAGGATTGGATTTGAGATACACTTATAATGTATAATTGTCATAAGATGGTGATTAGTTTAAAGTGTGTCATAGACTATTTTAGGGTTGAGCCAGTGACTTGTATGAAAGGGATTTGCTGCTTTTCTGCTCAATGATACCAGTGAGGACACATCCTGCAGTCAGTGTAGAATCCAGAGGTGTTTCTACATGTTGGAGGTGAAGTTTTAGTGAGCAGGAATTACATGGGGTATAACTGCCTGGTTAATTAGCACTTACTGATTTAGCATCTCCCTGTCTCAGTGAAGGGGCAGCCAGGTACTGCTGGGCACTCATTTACCCTGCTCACAGGATGCTCACAGGGCTGATATGGAGGAAGTGCAGGCTGAGTCCTCTTGAGGCTGAACTGAATTCCTTGTGCAGCTGCCAACTTCAGTGAGATGATCCAACAAGGAGCATCCTTACAAAAAGATGAAAAAAGCAAGCCCTGTCTGTCTCACCATCCGTTTGCATGGCTGTTCATGACTGTTGTGTAGGTGGGGATGAAGGAATGAATGTGGCAGCTTCAATTGAGGTTGCTATAAACTGATGTAAACCAGTGTGAGACTGCAATTAGGTGAAATGGGCTAAGTGTTTTTATCTGTCCCTACAGGAAAGTAGCCCATCAAAACCCCAAACAACAGTAAATCTATTTTCTGCTGGTTTAATAAGCTGAATCAGCTCTCTGAAGGATCAGACGAGTGCCAAAGCTGGCATGAGAGCCACAGCAAGCAAATGCAACTGAGAATGAAGAGAGCATTTCCCTACCAGGAAGCTGTTAGATTGACTTGCATACTGACTTTAGAGTGCAACAGCACCTCCAGTCAACAGAAATACAGGCTGTGGTCAGAGGGGTTGAAGACACATTTTTTGATTAGTAATCTGAGTGTGGATTATGTGCAAATTGTTAGAAAACAGTATAACTTCAAATTAATAAGTGAAGAAAAGTTTAACACAAAATGCTGAAAATGAATATAGGAAAAAATATAAAGTAAGACTGCAGCAGAGGCAAGTGTGTCTGGTGAAAGAGAAAAATAGAAAAATAGAAACCATAGCTCAATATTGGTGTTTGACAGCTGTTTATCACCAGAAAACCTAAATACAGTCTTAAGTCTTGGTTAAAAATGGTTAATTTTTGGAAGTGTTGATCACAGCTATGAGCATTCAGTCATGGGCCCAGGGCAAGAACATATTAAAGAATGTTGGTTATTGTAGACATATTTATGTTATCACTGGCTCAAAACATTATCTAAAATACTAATAGGACAGCTGACAAATTTTTAGAGCTTTTATTGGTTGCTTTGGTGGTGTTAGGGCTTTGAAAACATGCCCCAGTTTTCTTAAGGAGAATGTGGAAATTTAGACCAATGTGTGCAGCTTCAGGACACAACTTTTCTGCAGGGAGAGATGCCAGAACACACTGGTAGACAATCAATCTGTATGTGCCTAGAACTTAACACATGCTCAGAGGCAGCCACTGTGGATTTGTTAAAAGCAAATCTTCCTGTGAGAATCTGCTTTTGGAAGTCAGAGAAAAGAAGCAGCTGCAACGTGTCTTTATTTTGGTAAAGAATTCTACATATTCCAGTTTGTAGTAGTCCTTTTCTATTTGTGTAAGTGCACTGAACTCTTGGTCAAAATACTCCTGAACATAGAAAATTGGTGAGAATGGTAAGAAACATTGATGTGAAGTGAGTTGCAGATGCTATGAAGATTGAGATGAGCTTTTTCAACAGTACTCAGTATGTTAGAGAAATTACTGCTGTCAAAGTGAGCAAAAGAAAATTCACACACTAAGGTCCTAAGAACTGAGAAAAGATTTGCAAGTGCACAATGGAGTGTATCAAAATAATGGACTGGGAGCAAATAATGAGCAAAGTGAGCAGCATTTTAACAACACCAGCCCCACAATGCTCTTGCAAAAAAGAGAAATGCGTTTCTAAAATGCATTAGCCTCAGCAGTGTTTATAAAATGGAGAATTCCAGTTAGCAGTACTGTGACCTCAGTAGGAATAGACTGTCCAGTTTTGGGCATCACAATTTAAAAGAGATTTGTTACCCTGGAAAACATCCTGTAGAGAGGAACAGGAATAAAAAGAAAAAAAATGATGTGAAGAAGAGTTGGAAAAACCACTTTAGTTATAGCAATGAATCTGTATAACGTGCCACTCTTGTGATTGTAAATGGGAACAAATGGCTGAGTTGTCTCTCATAAGGCATTATTTCTCTTAGTCAGTTTCACAAATCTGATTTTCTGGCAGACAAGCTTTCACTCTATCGATAATGCTTAACTGTTCATCAGCCCATCTGTTTCTGCTTCTCCCTGTAGACTGGTACAGTTTGGCACCCAAACAAGCACTCAGATGCAGGTGGTTTTGGATGCCTGTCCTAGCCAAAAAGCACAAAAGTTGCAAATTCAAGTTGTATTACCTGAGAGTGACTTAACCTAGTTAGACTGCCAGGGGAATGTGGCACTAAATGCCCAAGCTGGGCACCATTTGGGATGTCAGCAAACCTTTGAACCGTTTGGTAAAAGAAAAATAGTTCTTCTGTTGCCTTCTCTGCCTGTTTCATGGTATGTTCTTGATGGGTGAAAGGGGAGGTGACAGGAGCCCTCCTAGCCAATCCAGCTGAATGTTGGATTTTAAATCTGAAATCTGCTAGAGAATTAAGCAGTGGCTCCTTCAAGTGTCTGGAAAGCTTCCTTATAAGGGAGCAAATGCAGCAAACTGCTTGGGAGGCAGCTTGCTGTGGAGCAAGTTGCTACACACAAGGAGGGAGGAGTTAGAAAACAACTCCTGTTTTTCTTTTAAAGAGTTTGAAGTTTTGTATGTAGAAAGGGGAATTGCGCTATTGTCAGCTTTGGAGGAAAAAGCATCAGCCAAAAGAATGAAATTAGTAGCTCTATACCCTTAGGAATCTTCCTGAGTTATAGGCAAGAGACTATACACACAAAGAACATGTATCCTGAGGCTACTGTTGATCTTCTTGATAATTATGTTACCATTCTTGTTGTTAAAAATGTTTCTGAATCCTCTATGAATGAAAAAGAAAAAAAAAGGGTTTTAGGCAGTCCCCATATTTCTGTACTATAAACTTTTCCTGCGTTGTATTTAAGCCAGATTGAGAGGAGAGAATCCCTGTCAGTGTTGACCTGCATGGAGTCAGATATGTTCCAGCTCTGGGCTCCCCAGTACAGCTGCTCCAGCATCTGGCAAAGGGCCATTGAGATGGATGGGGAACTGAGGACTCTCCTGTGAGGAAAGGCTCAGAGAGCTGAAATCTGGAGGCTGCAAAGGAGACAGAGGCCCGTGCCAGGAAAAGGGGCAGTGGCCACAGACACAAACACAGAAGGTTCTGGCTGAACACAGGAAAGCACTGTGAGGGTGACCAAGCTCTGGAGCAGGCTGCCCAGCCAAGGTTTGCAATCTCCAGCCTTGCAGATACTCAAAAGCCATCTGAATGTGGCAGCCTGCTCCAGCTGCCCTTGCTGGGCAGGAGGTTGCACCAATTTATCTCACCTGGCAATCTCAGTCACTCTGTGATTCCTGGAATCACCAGCAGAAAGATGCCTGTGGGCAGGGGTTTGAGTGCCAATTCAACGAAGGAAAAACATTATAAAGTGTTCTTATCTATTCTCACTATGCATCATGTAAGTCTGGGAACAGTAGGATACATATATTGGAAGTCAGAGTTTTCATAACTATAACTAGATTTAGAATAAATGTATTATAAATTGTCTGCCAAAAACATTTCTCACTATTTCTTTGTAATTTTACTGTAGATTACTTGGGAGGGTATTTTTGTAGTATTCTCTTAAATGAATTTGTGCTGCTTCATTTTGCATTGCAAAGATGAATAAATACTTGCTAACTTAAAACTAGCAGAAGACTCATCTATCCACTTTTTCTCATCTTATTATGCTGCCTTTTTATAAATTATTTCAGTGCCCAGTTATTGTATTTTATTGATGCAATGAAAATAACTTCAACTGGAAATCATAAAAAGGGAAAGGCATATCAGTAACAGAATTCCTTCAACTTTCAACTCTTTCTGCTTGTGTTTCTCACTGTCCTTTGTTCTTTACCTGTTTGTCAAACTGTGGCAATTCAGTGAGTTGTGGTTTCAGTTTCTGACTGAATTTCCTTGTATCACATTTCCTGTTGGTTTGGTTTCAGCTTCACATGGTAGACCACGTTCTCTAATAGACTGTTCTAACCTCTTGCAATCTTTGGAAGCAATAATTCACTGAGGAATTGCTGCAGCACAGGGATTTATGCCTCCATTACCATGTGTAACATTTAACATTTATTGTTGCAAAAACGGTTTGTGCAAGTATGCCATAAATCTGAGACCCTCCAAGTGCTGTATCAGTTGCCCTGGGGGCTCCTCCTTCCTTAGTTTCTCAGCCCCAGATTAAAGAACCTCCTTCTTTTTGAGCTGTAGCAACTCTTTCTGCCTGTGTGGCAGACCTGTAGGTTTTGGTCTGTCTGGCTCTGTTCCCCAGCTGTCCATTAAAGGACTGCAGGACAAGAGAGCATGTGCAGTTCACTGATTTGCATCAGTACAGGGCTACAGCCTCTGTAGCAAGGGTTATAAATCAGTTCCCATCAGTGCACTCTGTCCTGCATTCTGTGCAGTCTCATCCTCAGTGCTGCTGCTTCTTTTACTTCCAGCCATCTCAGGTGCTTGGAAGGGCTGATTGATGAGACCTGCCTCTTTCCAGGGCTTTATGTTGACTTGTCAATTCTCCTGCTGGTCTCTGGAGTGGTGAATTCTCTGTGTATTACACAAAGTCCTTCTCCAGCTGTTCCATTCAGCTCTGGCATCTGGACAGGAGCCTATAGCTCTGATTGTGGTGCATAACCAAAAGTGCAACTGAACAGCAGCTGTGCACTTGTGGTCTTGCTACAGGCACAGTTTGTTCCATCCTGTACAATGAGTGTACAGTCAGCTCATGCCGTGGCTCCTGGGAACACATGGTGGGACTGCCCATCACTGCCTGCTTTCATTGCTCTAGTTAAGCCATTTGTTATTTTTTTTCTGACAGTGCAAAACAATGCCGAGCAATCTAGAATTTACTCCTTGAGATGGTATTGAGTGCAATGCACAAGTCTTTGAACACATCCCTTTTACTCAGGAATAAATAGGATATATATTGCTGAATAAAAATGTTTCCCCCTTACAGCATAAATCAGGTGAGTGTTGCTGTGGGAACCCAAACCCGGAAGATGTTTATTCATTTCTAAAGGCCACTTTAAAGCCTCTCCTTATTTCCAATCAATGAGCCATTGCAAGCTTCTATCCTTTGTTTTCAGCACTCCTTCAGTGCAGAGTTCCTGTTAAAAGGCCAGCTCAGCCAGCTGTAATGTGTTGTCACTACATTTAATGCTGGAGATGAATGTACACCAGGCCAAGGAAGGGCTGCTCTGTGTTTTAACACACCCACTGGTGACCTTGGCTACAGTCTGACTCCCTCCCAAAGCTCAATAGTGAATTTAAATGGTTGCTGCAGGGTGTGAGCTTAGAAATCTCTTTTTTTTCAATCTATTCAGGTAGAGCAGGAGGCTCTGTTGTAAGAGACATCCCAAACTATATCCGGCAAATTCCCACAGCATCATCCTTGCTGACTCTAGGATGCTTCACCCTTGAGAAGTGGGAACAGACTCTGACCTACCTTTTGCCATGTAAAAGACCCAAAGTAGTAAAATGAAAGTTATCATCAATCAAAAGTAGGCTGTGGGGACAAAACTGTGTTGTGGGCTTTTTTCTGAACACAGCACTTTTGGTTTTCATTGGTTGATGGGCAGCTGATTTTAAAACTACTGCTGTCTACAGGGGTAAGTCTTGTTCTGCCTTTATTGAGTAATTTAATAGAAAATTAACCCCCCATTTTCTTCTGCTGCTGTCACAACTGCTTCAGTAACCTCAAGGAGCTAACTGTGAAAATGTCTTTATTTTCAAACACATCAGTTTGCTGAACCTCACTGCACATTCTTAAATGTTACTGCTTATACAAGGGACACGAGTTGCTGGTGGGCTTCATATTTCTGCAAGGGCAGATCAGCAGTCTGGGTTTAGACTGGATTAAAATGATAGAGAATCGCAGCCTTAATCCTTGAATGTTGTGCATGAAGCATAAATAGATACCAGTACCTGTGGGGACACAGCATCATCAGTTAATGAAATTTGCCATTAAATTTATCACCACATTCCCTCCCACTCTCATTTGTGGCAGGGAAGACACTGCCAATTTTTCATTTCCTACTTCCATGCAATGTTGATAAGGAATCCTGCTGACAAAGAGAGCACAGCCAGGAATAGGAAAATGTTTCTGCATGCATGCAGAAGAAACTTTTAAAGGAAATACAGCTGTAGTAGTTATTGCTGCAAAGACAGTGAGGCTGCTCTTGGGCTTCTGAATATACATGATGGTCTTTGTCTGATAATGGCAGCTTTTCCAAGTCTGTGTGTTCAGACAGCACTGCAAACCTTCCATTGCCTCCCTGACAAGACATAAATGTTTCTGTGTCTAGGACAGATAAAGAGGTTTGAGATTGTTTTCAGACATGCTTTTTGTGAAGGGCATGCTGAGTAAAAGGACAGAAAGCATTTCCTTTAGGTCACAACTGCTCTGATGTGTTCAGGTCACCTGAAAAACCTTCTGCTTCTCCAAAACTGGAGAAATATCAGAGCCTTTACCAGAGCTTTGTTTCTTCTCTATTTGTAGTTAGGAATTAATGTTATTGAGAGATATGAGATAACAGTCAGTAATGAGAGCAGCATTTGGGAAGTGATTACTGATTTGTCATAATGTACAACACTACATGGTGCAGTGAAGTACTGCATACAGGCAGGAGTGTAAATTATAGGTGTAAATAGCCCTGATGTCTACTGAGCTTTACATCATGTTACAGAGCAATTGATCAGACATGTATTGCTTCCTTGCCAAAAAGTATTCTCCCAATGCAACATAAGTTATTCAACTAAATGGGAGTTTTGGTGGACCTTCAGCAAAAAGGACTGTGTTCCTTATGACAGGTGGTTTTCTTGGCATCCTGTTAAGATGCTGAAGCAGGGCTGTTATTTTTTCTGCAAATCCAGTATTTGATACTGGCAATCCAGTTGATTATAAAACAGTACATAGTGTCCCTGAAGAACCTTCCACCATCAGGATCTTAAAGAAGGAAAGGGTGTTACTGTCTTTTGTGGTTGTTCTGTTGGTTGGGGTTCTTTGTTTATTATTTTGAAGGATAATGGAGCAAGTGCAGCATACTATATGTTTGGTATAGGGAAATCTTATGGCCCTTTTCATAGTCTTAAATGCTAATCATGCCGTGTGATAAGGCTATGACAAATAGAGTTGCTGAATCCTTGCAGATAAAAGCATGTGGAAGATGTGTTTTATTGCTGTAATTTAGTTTGCAGGAGTTAGATCAGAGCCACTTCCTACAGACTCATTTGGATGCTTTAGTGTGAAATCCGCTCAGATAGAAAGCTCTTACATCCACAGATCTTTGACCAGTTTGGTGAATTAACAGCACAGTTGGGAGGAAAACAGGATATGAGAGCTGCCCTCAAATCTGCAGTGAGTTACCTGCATGTTTCAGTGTCCAGCACCTGCCTTCCAGACATTTCTGTCTGTCTGGAGTTGGGAGCTGTATCCTTCTTTCAGCTGCCAAAAGGTATGGCTGAACTTCAGTATAAATAGATTGCAATTTCTGTGGACAGGATAGTGAATTCTGTCAGCAAGATGTGGCAGGTTTACTTTGCATTGATATTGCATGTTATAAAGAGACAAGTCTGATATTAGATAAAGTAAAGAAGGAAATCTTGACAGTTAAAATAAGCAGGAATCATCAGCTCCTGAATTTCTCAATGTTGTCCACAATGGTGAAGTTTTGCCAATAGGGAGTGCTTAATTTTCTTGAAGACTAGAACACCATTTCAGTATTCAGCTTTTAAAAAAGTAGGTAACCCGTAGATGGACATTGGACTTGAAAGTTTTGTTGTAATTTTTTCTTTTTGAGTGTTTTTAAGTTGCTTTTTCAGTTGTATTTAGAAGCATCTTTTCAGCTGCTGTTTACAACAGAGAAATCAATTGCTAGAGAGGGAAATGGCTATTGCCTCTTGAATTACACAGTATTTATGAAATGTCAGGGTGAGCTGTGGTAAGCAGCTGAAATGTGCTGAGGTAGTGGATATCCAGTTTCTGGTATGGCACAAAGTATTGCAGGATAAGGACATCAGTTTCCTACAATGCAGAAAAAATGTGTTTCTGTGTTTCATTTTGTGTGTTCTTTGTGGTACATCATAATAATGAGAAAACTGATGCCTGTAGATTATTTTACCCTAGTTTTTGAGTTTACTTACACACAGGAACCTGAAGTAGTTCAGTTGGGTGTGGATCTGCTGCAGGTAAAGCTGGAGAAATTAAGAGGTTGCTGAGGCATTTCTTCCTGTATTACTGTTTTGTTTATATTCTGCTGTTAAAACACAGTAATTGCTAGATGTAATTGTTAGTATGCCTAGGGAGCAAGCAGGATTTTTTGTTAAAAGGAAAGTCACGAGATACAGCTTTATAATGAATACAAGTAGTACATGTGCCCTACCGAGAGATCAGAATACACTGTGTTAGTACACAGGACATGACAAAGGGGCACTTGCTGTCCTAAGCAGTTTATGAATTAGGTGTAAGACTCAACTTGCACATATGATAAGAATTACATTTTGCAGTACAAGTCTTGGTTCAGCCTTCTGTGCACATACCTGGCAGTGCCTAAATGTTACATACACACCGTGTGAAACTCTGCTCAGTTACAGAAACACGCGGCTGCTGGATGCTGCATCAAAGCTCTCCTTCTTTCAGAAAGATGGCAATTTGGTGGGCTCAGACTTGTGCACTAAAACCAATGATTAGAGCTGCAAGACAAATTTGTAGGTGATTACTGTCTGAATGGAATTGGTTTTTTAAAATTGATTATTGGCTGTTTGTTTCTGCTTGTTTACAGGTTGCACGGCCGATACTATGAAATGGCACCAAACGTTGTGCCTATGGACTATACAAAGGACCCAGATGTTAAACTACCTATGCAGCTTATAATAAACATGCCTGAGCTGAAGGTATCACTTTTGACTGCTTGCAAACTGTATCTTAACTTCTCTAGCTCATCTGCCAGACCTTTTTCCAAAATCGATATCCAGAAGCGCTGTGGCATGCTAAGGTCTTCCCCTTCCTGTTATTGTTCAAGGGCAAAACCAGCCCCAGAAACTGGAAAATATTCAGGTGAATGTCTTTCTTGCAGAGATAGTTAGGGTAGATGTTAAAAGAAACGAATAGGAAATAAATTTAGCAATCTTTGCTTTTTGTGTATATGCCCCACAGGAGCCAGGTATCCACAGGAATGTCTGTATGAAGAGGTGTTAGAAATCTGAAGTTCTTATCTCAGTCTGTAGGAATTTTGCTATCAATATGCAGAATATTGCTAATAAAAAGTAAAGGTTTCCCCCTTTTTTCTCAGCTACCTAAGCACAATAAATATTATTTTTCTTAATTATCGAGAGTTTTTATTTTCATGGGGACATTACGTGGTAGGAAGTGGAGAAACAGTCCATGTAACTGCAAATGAGAGAAGCAGTAGGTGTAAGGCATTAAGTGCAAAAAAAATTGAGACACTGTTTTTATTCTCAGTTCAACAATTCAATAATTTGTGGTTTTAATGGGACAAATGTGGACTTTTAGCCTTTATTTTTAAACAGTTCATTGAATTATGTTGTGTTTTGTCACACAGTCCATTTTTCATGTACACTAGTCGACTGATGTCTATAAATTACTATAATGTGGAAACAATTATGTGCTCAATCTGATAGTTGCATGAAGCATTATTAAGCTTTTTAAGAACAATGCTATAAAAACCTTGTAATTGATGGCTTCCCACTTAATTTTAATGATCTAGAAATTCTTCATTAGTATTGTATTTTTTTTAAATATCTGGTATTTTACAAGCAGAAGCCATGCTTTAGACATTCAGTTGTAGAGAACACTAAGTCAACATGAAGTGAAGAACATTTGAATTAGATTTCAAGTTGAAAGTCACAGAACTCTTTATTCCTTTAATACCACACTTGCTGTATGTTTGATTCTAGGATAATATAATTTATTGAACAAGAACCATGTTTTTTTAAAGTGTGTTAAAAAGTCTTTGACCAGCATTTCATATAAATGGAAACATTAAACACATGCAAGCATTTAATTCAATAGAAAACCTTGGGAGAATTTTTATCCTTCAGTTATTCTTCAGACTCTGATTTAGCAGATGCCTATGGACAGCTTGGGTTTCTGAAGAAGCTGAGAGATATTTTAGAATTCTTTTTCACAGTAAGCATGGACTTCTTCAGCAAATTATATTTATGTTTTTTCTAATGGCATCAGTATTCCTTAGGGTTTATGTTATCATCTCTGAGATCTTGATAGCCCAACATGAATCCTTTGGCACAGCTCTTTGACTCCTCAGACTTTAACAGCCAGAGAGCTTTGTGACAAATCAAGGCTAAGCTTAGAAAAGGAAGTGAGAAATTATGATCACATAGAGTCTTTTTGGCTTCAGTGATAGAGGATTGAACATGTAAGGAACAGCTCATTCTATGAGAACTTGTGAGATGGAAGGCCTGGGACTGAAGCTGACATACAAACCAAAAATTTTATACAGGATCCTATTTAGATTGAGATACAGGAGCATATCATGCTAGCTTAGCAAACATAGGTGGTAATGACAGACTTCCTAAGAGGCTTCCATGTATGGATCATAATCATGGATGGATCATATGTGGATCATAATCTATCTACTGGCACCACAAGTCTGTGAGGCTTTCTCACCCTGCTTTAGAAGATGTCTCTAGGTAATGGAACTTGACTTTATGAAAGTAATAGCACAAACTCAGTATTGAATTTTATCCAAATTCTCTCTCAGGTCTCATAAGTCTGTGGAAGAACCTTAGAAATATTGATTGCAAACCACTCATTTCATTTCAGGAATTCTGGGAGCTTACAGAGAAAAGTGCTTTCAATAGCTACTGAGCTTGTTTCCAGTAAAATCCCAGCAGGAGGAGACTAAGTGATATTCCAGAACTCTTTCAAGGCATTGACACTAAAAGATGTTAAAATGCCTGGGATCTTTGTTATAAACTGGGGTCCTTCTTGCTCATGAAGCATCTTGTGGGCACCTGTGCAGACAGGAGTGAGGGGGAGAGAGTCTTTCCTCAAGATTTTGTTTTTGAAGCAATCTAGGTACTAACTTCAGCTCACACTAAGAAAAAAATCTTTGACCTTTGCAACTTGACCAGACTGCCTAACAAATCATAATGGTGTTTTCTTTGGTAAATTTTCATCAAGGTGAAGACAAAGACAACATTTACTTCTTAAAATAGAAATAAATGACCTAAATTTCTATTGAATTCTAATAAAATTAGTGCTAATTTCAATGCACCTGGCTTTTTTCATATACACATTACATTTCTAGTTACTGGCAATGTTGAGCTCAATGCCACTGCAGGTTCTGACAAACGGATAGAATCAATAATGCACTTTTCTAAATTAGATTCTGCTAATATAAAGAAAGATCTTTACCTCCTGCATTAAAGCTTTGAGCCAGGTGTTTTGTGTTTCAAGGGGAAAAAAATGCTGATGGTCATTCTCTTTAATTGATAATGAATTATTCACTAACTCCTGATTCTGAAAAGTTGAAAGTTGGGACAAGAAATAAATAAATAAAGAAGGGGAAGGTACTTTCAGTTGATTAGGTCTACCATTACAGTGAAGTTAACAGAGCTACTTTACTCCATCAGTTTCATTGCAGTCTCTGTTCTCTAATTTTTGCAATCTTGGTTACACAGGCACCAGTATAAGAAATTACCTTTGGGGCATCTGGACGCCTGTGAGATGGCAGTAATTAATATAGCAAAACTGTAGCCATGATATGGACTGCTCAGCGTGGGACCAGGGAGAAAGCAAAAGGGATATTTTTTCGAATTAAAACTGATTTCGGTCACATTATCACTGTCATTGCCACAGAGCTGCAGGTGGCAATGTAACCTGGTGTCAGAGCCCCCTGTGGTTGGCAGCAGTGGTGGGTGTCCATCCCCACATCCCAGTTTGCCTCTTTGCTAGATTGGGAGCTCTCTGTGGGCACTGAAGTGCAGAGCAATCCTTCCCTCCAGGGCTGGGCTGCTGGAGGGGAACCAGTTTTGTTTCACTCACTTTAGTCTGTTGCTTCCTGCCTTTTGGCTCACACAGGAACTTCACTGATCCTTGCAGGTTTGTTGAAAGCTGCACTGGGGAGGAGGTTTTAGATGTGATTTCAGTGAGTCTTCAGGTTCAGAGCTTTCTGTGCATTGGGCAATGACACCTGGGCCATCTGTGTAAAGGGCAATGGGTAATGCCCGGGCAGGGTGATCTCCCCAAGCCCCAGCCCTGCTCTGGCCAGTTTTTGCCTCCAGCTCATCTCAACATCCCTGCTGCATTCTGTTAGTTGTTCCTAGTTTTGATGGGATGTTTTACTCCCTTTGCAGGAGCAAAACTTTACTCCAACCACTCTCCTTGCTTCTCTGAAGTCTCTTTATCAAGTGTGGTAGGCGAGGGCTGTTTTCTCTGCATCAAACCCCAGGCCTGCACCCCCCCTGCAGCCTTGTCTGTGCACTTCCCTGTCAGAGTTAGCAATCAGTTCTTGTCACAATGCCCTATCTTCCCATGAGGGGCTGGTAAGCAATTCTGTATACAGCTTAAATCTTTGGATTTTTGGTCATTGTGACTTCAGTAAAGAGTCATTGTTGAACTTAATATGCTTCTGCTTTCTGACAGAACAAAATGGTCTTTTCCATTAAGACATAAATGTACCAATTTAGCTCTGTCTTAGCCTTGGCTTCTGCAGGAATTTCTTAAATAGTACCCTGCAGGCACTGCAGAGAAGTTTGATGACATTAATATAATCATAGAAACATAAAACCCAGGTTATTGATTTTGAGGAAGAAGAAAATTAACAAAAAAGCCCTGCAAAGAAACTTGCTTTTTTCTGCTCCAGGGACAATTTGCTGTTGCACTTATTATGCTACCCTTTTGAAGCACCAGTCTTTCCTATGGAGCTTTGATAATTAACAATTTAGCTACTTTTATATTAATGTTTGTCTGATAGCAATTTTTTCCCCCTCTGTTTTGGAATAATCCTGAAATTTGAGAAAAGCTAGTTTTTACCATTGCTGAAAAAGTCTTGATTAAAGCATCCAAAAGGATTCTGGCTTGCAATAGTCTGCAAAATAGACTGCTTTGTGCTTTTAAATATATTCTCTACAGTCAGTGGGGACTTGTGTTCAAACACAAAAGGGAAAGTCATCATTGTGTTTCTGTGGATATAAAAATTAAGCAGCATTTTGTAATGACTCTCCTGTATCTCCAACTTAATTAATTTGACCTGTCTTTGAACTTCACTTGCAACTCTTATCTCCAAAATGCAGTCAGCCTGTGGGAATAGGATTGGATGCTTGAAATTAATTCTTCAAACTACAAAGCAGATAAGGCAAAAGGCCACCAGAGTACTTTCCTAGAGTCTGGGATGGAAACTAGAGGACAGAAGAATATAACAGGTGACTTAACTGCAATGGCAGAAGTAAACCCTCCAACAGTTTGATAGAAAACTAATGGCTGTGTTTTATTGTAAGCTGTTAAAGGTCTGAATGTTGGAATAGATGCTGTGAAAGATTTTAAATGCACAGAAACACAATTATCTGAGTAAAAGAAGCATTCCTTGCAAAGATGGATTGCACATTTAGGATTGTCTCGAGCCACTACAGCAACACCATCAATCTGCAAAACAGCTGAGTTGGTTTTTGGTTGTAGTGATTCTTTATTGTTTCTGTCTCCCCTCTCATTTTTATCATGAGACTGCAGAAAAAGCTTTTTAAGACAAATGTAGGTTTCTAGTTTTAAAAGGAATATTTTTTTCAACAATTAGTGCTTATGGGAAAGCAATCTAGGAAAAAACAATATAATTTTCCCCTTTACTCCCTTCCCCCATGGCTCTTCCTTTAAATATGATGGAACCCTAATCTGTGCTCTTTAGAGTAGAGGTAATGAAATTACAGAAAGGATGTGAAAAGTATCTGTGAAGGTAAGCTAATACTTTCCATTGTGTAAGCCACAGATATACTGCCTGAAGACACATAATATGAGAAAGTTAAAGGAAAGAAATCAATATGAGGAAAGATTTTATTTTTGGTTTTAGCGATCCATTTGGCAAAGAGTTACTTAAGAAGTATGCTTAGGTTCATTTAATTCTTTCTTAATTGATCTGTATTTTCAAGACCTCTGACATGCCAAATAAATAACTCATTTTATGCAACTGCAAAATGCTTATTGAGTCAGTGAGATCCTGCCCCAGCCTTTCTAAAGCACAAAGTCCTGGGCTTGATATTCACTGCTGATAGGGACATTTGCATCTGTCTGCTCCTGGTTTGTTACCCAATGCTGCCTCTAAGATGTCAGTTTTACTACTGTTACCATGACACTTCTCATCAGGTTTGTTCCAAAGAAAGCTATACAGCATTTAAGAAATGAAAAATAAATTTCTAACATGTTTTGATGCCCATTCTGATGTTTGGCATTCTCAGCTATTAAACATACAACACATTATGTTTTGGTGTGCTTTTAGGAAGAAAGTGGGCCTTTTCATATATTTCAGCCCAAATCAATCTTACTTTGGCTTATTTATAAACTGGCAGTTTGAACAATAGAACCAATTGTTCCTCCTTGCATGTCTGTGTGTGCATATCCCACAAACAGGTATATGTGTATAACCACAGGTAAATCCCACAAACAGGTAAATGTGTATTCCATGAATATCTCCAGGGACTTTTCCAGGCATTTAAGTGAGATACTTTAACCTGAGCAGTACCCACGGATGCACACCTGCTGTACCTACACTTCATTCAGGAGACATGAGTGATCACTGCATATCCTTTTACAGTGAGGTTCTCTCAGCCATCTGCCTGGCTCTGGGGTGTTATTTTTCATTCTCATGCTCTGTAGAGGTGTGGCCCTTTTGCTTTTGAGGCCGCTTTTTATTTTCAGGAATCCCTTTTTTCTATTCTATTTAATTTGGTTTTATCTGCCCTGGTTTTGTCTTCATCTGAACAGTGAGCTCATTAATCTCCTATCCTTTGAAATCTGTAGGCCTGTTCCCAATTGTGGATTCCTTCAGTCATCCAACCCTGCAGGAAAATTTGTATTTAGTATTGACTTTTTATTGGGCTGGCATTTGAGCCTAAGGCTCTGTGGTCCCCACTTCACCTGTCCATAAAAACAGCCTTGTTCCTGGTCATTACTTTTTTAGTTGCCAGAGTTATGCCAAAAATGCCTTCTATAGATGCTTGTGTTCTATGTGTGAACTATCAAGAAAGAATTCAAGTAAACTGAAAAACAACATTTTCTGGTCATTTGTCTCTCAAATATAGCTAGTATTTGAAATTACATTTAAAATAATAGGATGGTTTATGAATACCTGTTAGGTAATTAAATTTACAGGGAAATAAAAGAAATTAAAAGGAGATATGATTGAGCTTTTGAGCTCTCACAGTACTGCTCCTTTAAAAGCCAAACAAAATGCTGCATGCATATTAAAAATAGTGAACCTGATATGCCACCACCACAGCTGTACATATGTATGGATCAGTATGTTAATCAGTGTCTTGGCTTCAGATGAGATCTGTATCACAAATTTAATGAGATGCTGCTCACAGCCCAAGTGATGTTTGTGTTCTGTTCATATTCAACTAAATTGAATTGATTTTTCAAGTTTTATTGATACAGCTACAAATTAGTGTTGGGGTTTTGTACAGCTCTGAGAAAGACCATGAGTTTTTAATGTAAAAACATTTGATTTGGATTTCATAGTGATAAAGCAGGTTTTCTTATGCTTGCTTGTGTGTTTATGGTTTTAGAATATTGTCTTATTCTAAGGTGCTAGAAATAATTTCAGGATCATCTCCAGTGGTGACTATATTTCATTTAAATTTCTGGAATTTATGTCCACATGTTGGACATTGACATGTGTCAGTGAAAGTAAAAGGCCAGAAGTGGTACTATGCCAGCAGCAAGGACTGCTGAAACTTCCTGCTAAAGCATACAAATGTAAGTTTTTTGATGGATTTTTGGGGAGAAAAAGATGTCTTTAAAGAGCCAACTATACAATTAAATATTCATTATCAAGTAGTCTGCAGATTTTTTCATCTTCCAAATACCAGTCTATGTGTGTCTTTCACAGGAGAATCCCTTCAAAGAAAGGATTGTGTCGTCTTTCTCAGAAGATGGAGAGGGGAGCCTGAGCTTCAATGACTTTGTGGATATGTTCTCTGTGCTCAGTGAAATGGCTCCCCGAGAGCTGAAAGCAATCTATGCCTTTAAGATTTATGGTACTGTGTGGAGGGAGGGGCTCTGGTGTGCTTTTGGTGTTTGGAGTAAATGAGTGGTACACTTGGTGATCTTTGGTTCTTCTATTGTTTAGATTTTAACACAGATAACTTCATTTGTAAAGCAGACTTGGAAAAAACCCTCAATAAGCTGACCCGGGAAGAGCTGACAGCGGAGGAAATCACTCTGGTTTGTGAGAAGGTGATAGAAGAAGCTGACATGGATGGTGATGGGAAATTAGGATTTGCAGATTTTGAAAACATGATTTCCAAGGCACCAGACTTTCTCAGGTATTATTTTAAGAAAAACAGAGTTCCTTGCATACTTGCAGGTATGTTTTAGGATATCATTGTGCAGTCTAATACAAGAAGTATCAGATATAAGTACTAGAGAACTCACTGGGGGATGACTTCTTACCTAACTCAGGTTACTTTTCCAGGGCATATTCCAGTTCTCTCCTAATTTAAGACTAAGAGCTCAATGACTTTTAATTATCATCTTTCCTGCTCCTCCCCCCATCTTGGTGCAGTTCAGGAAAATATTTTGATCCATTATGAGCTCAAATTCAACCTATAGCGAGGATCAAGCCTATAGCAAGGATCCCAGCTGTCTGCATAGGAATGTGTATAAATATTACATACATGTTACAAATACACATAGGAAGACATTGATCTCTTTGCTGTGAAAGTGTTTTTTTGAAGAACTGTGAAGTGTCCTGCAGAACACAGAATAGTATTTCTTTCACAAATGAAATTTCTGAGGAAAGAGGTTAAAAGCAATTCAACAATAAAGCAGGAGGACATGATTCCAGTGAACCTTGAGAAACATCAGCTTCTGGAGAGGAGACATTCAATGTGAATGTCTTTTATACATTTCAGATATTCCTTGACTAATCAAGTGTATCAACAGAAACCCCTTTAGAACAAGACATGTATCATCATTATGGTGAGGCTCAGCTCAGTAGGTATTCTAGTATTTTGTTTACAGATACTTCCAGCTAAGGAAATATCTTCTTTATACTGCTATCCTTGTAGAAGCTGCTGGGATCAGGTAGGGTTTCCTTTTATCAGTCAAAAGGCTGTGCTGCTCCTACTAATCTGGTAGAGAGCAGCGATCAAATGTGAAGAATTGAAGGCAGATCTGAAGATTCAGTAGAAACTGCAGTTTCAGAAGTTTCCTGTGCCATGACTGATTTTACTGCTGTGTTGTAGAGGCTTGCAAACTGCTGACTGAGAATTCCAAGCTGAGGATGCTGTGCAGTCCAGTCATTTCCTGAGAAAGTTTAGCTGGGTCATGGGATTTATCTCTGAAATCCTCAAGCCTAAGAGCTCCTGGTGATATATAGAAGGGTCTCCTTCCACCTCCTAACCAAAACACTGGTTTAGAGCCTCTGACCAGGTAGTTTCTATATAAAAGCAGTTTCTGTGGAGATAACAGTACAAAGAAAACAATTTTTTAGCTGGAAATATATGTAAATAAAATATTAGAATCCTCTGAAGAATCTGATGTTTCTTATGGTTCACCACCATGTGTCTTTGAAGCTATATTGGAAAATGAGAATGTAATGGAAAAAGCCTCAGAGTTGAGAATGTGTAGGTTCTCTGGTTTGGTTTCTGTTTTAATTTTAACAGTTAACAGCTGCAGGAAAAGAAAGTGATGGGGTCATAAGACTACTTTTGTCCAAACTGATTTACATGCAAGATTTGATACCTCTGCCTTAGTGTGGTTTACTGTTCATTTTGTCTGTAAAGGTATTTGATTTTTTTAGGACATTGCTTGTTCTATTTTTGCTGTATGCACTGCATCACAGCCTGGCATACTTGTTAATACTGAACTTCCTATTCTGAGGAACTTATTCTAATTTTTTTAATACTGGGTAAATACTGCATTCTAAAGAGAGATTTGACTTTTGGAATGGAATTCATTGCAGTTTAATGCCACAATAGTTTCACCAAAGTCTGACTGGAATTGAACCTAAGCAAGCACGCTCTGGCAGGAGCCAGTGCCTGCCAGCATGGGACAGACTTTGTGACATGGGACAAGAATGCAATTCCTGTAGCTGATCTCTCACCACCAAAAGCCCAGTTCTTTGTGCCATAACAGTCTTGGAAACATTACCTATTCATTTACTGCAACATTGCTTTCTTACATCTTTGTGAATTCATCTCCAGCTCTGTCTCCAGCCTCTCGTTTTCTGAGTTTTCAGCTGTAATGGTTGTCTTAAATGATGGCCTTGGGCTGTGTGCAGCCACAGGGCAGGCAGGGCTGTGCAGCTTCACTGGGTAATCTACTACAGAGCATGCAAAGCACAGGAAGTGTCTGAATAGCAGATGACCAACCCTCTATGCCAGTGGAAAACTGCACTAGCTTCTTACTATTACAAAAAGATCTAAAAACATGCTTTCATCTAAAATAAATTGGCCATGCGAAATCTTAAGCAGACGTGTGGAAGAAATACCAACCCATCAATGTCCAGAGGCAGTCACAATTTCATTTGCTTTTGCTTATCTCCACTTTTTGTGCCCAGTTGAATGTATTTCAGAATTTAAATTCAAGGAAGCCAAGAGTCTAATGATTTACACTTCCAGCTGCTCAGCAACTGTGAAAATGGAACACCTTGGAACCAAAGCAATAGCCACATTGGAAATGATTGCCAGTGAGCAAATGCAGATGCTGGGTAACTGCAGTTTGTAGGGATTTTGCTGTGAAGCCATGGGCAGTCAGTAATTCTGAACATCTGATCCCAGAATACCATCCTGGCAATGTGCTATGGGAGCCTTCTGAAAATGCTGAATAACTTGCAAGGCCCCAGATGATTTTTATCTGTAGTAAAGGATTTACTCTGTTCTTTTCCTTTTGTCCCCACCTCTTCATATCATAAAAGAGGGAATGTAGGATTCCAGGCAGTTAGGTTTTATCCCTGGCTCTGCCATTGCTTGAGCAGGTGATCTGTACCAAGCCATAGAACACTTTTTTCTCTCTGCTCTCTAATGTGGGACCAGTGCTCACCTGACTTGTGACAAACGTTGAGAACTTTCATTCAGCTGCAAATGATCATCAGCAGAAGCAGCATGAGATTTGAAATTACTGAGGAGGAATATCTTCTTTACTCTGTGGAAAACCTTTGAAGGCCAGATTCTAACAGCAATATGCACTCAGGTTATGAAGCACATGTTGGGGTGTTTTTAAGCTGTCACGTTATCACGCCTACCTAACATACACAGCAGGCACTAGCTTTGACACCATGATCCAGGCTTTGACCTGCTAGGAGCTGAAATTCATCCACTCTAGGTTGACTTATTTTCCTTATCTCATCACTCCTTTCTCAAACCTTTATTTAATGACCCTGTGTAGGTTTAATCTCCTACAGACAGCCTTTGCCAGCTTTGTGCTGCTGTCAGGCAAATGAAGATGCAGTAAAGTCTGTTGCTTGATTTGCACTGCTGTCGTTGAGGAATTTTTTCCAGACCAGAAGAAAACACTGTTAATCATTAACCAGGGAACATCTATGCAGTTGGCTGCTATCCCAGAAGCTGAACTAGGCTGTAAATGATAATGACAGTTACTAGTTGAGAAAATTGGATCCCAATAGTTGTATTTCACTAAAAATTGTTATCATTAAGAAGCTGCTTGTAGTTTAATGGAAGCATTGGCAGATTGAGCTGGCACTAGTTAAGTGTTCTGTTCTACAAGACTGGTTACGTTTTCCACAGGAAATTGTTTTATAAATCATCCTGGAAGTTTCAGCTTATTTGAATGCCTGAGGGTGAAGCCTGCTGTAACAATAGGTAATGGGGTTTGAGAGGAGTATGGCATAGTAATACCTAGGAACTGCCAGAACCAGGCAGAGAAACAACACATTAAACATTGGAAATGCAGGATTTCTGAAACTGTTGTGGGCATAGTGACAAATGTGTTTGTGTGCCTTAATCTTTTTCTTTCTTTTGCAGTACTTTCCACATAAGAATCTGAAGATGTTTCTGCCAGTCCAGCTTTACTGAATCTCAGGCACTCCAGGGATTTTTGTCCTCTAGTGAGGGCTTCCTAGAACTCAGCAGAAAGTACTGAAACAATTCTGGTCCACAAAGAGACAGAAGCATCATATGATCTACAGGATATTTGGAACAGACACATTTTTATCTTCTCTGCTGGCCAAGCACTCTGGTGAAGATTGGTTGTTGGATTGTGGTATTTCTTTTTTTCCCCTCTTTTTTTAACAGTCAGAATCAGAATATTATTAAAAGTATTTCCACAGAGTTTTTATATTTATGAATATTTAATACTGCTCTTAATGGTGAAAAAAACCCCCAAAAAAACCCCCCTGAGAGATTAACTTTGGTGTGTTTTCCAAGAATATTTGAAAGAAAGCACGGGCCTTAAATAATGAGATGCCTCTATCACTGTGTTGTACAGCTGGGATCTTGCATGGAAAATACCTGAGGTGACAGAACTGCAGTCAAGATCAAGCTCCCAGTGTTGAAGACAGCCACAGCCCAGGTTTGCCTTTCAGCCACTAAAATGGCAACTGCTGGGTTTGGTGCTTACCTTCAACCAATATTTTATGGATTGTTGTGTCCTTATAAAACTTGAAATATTTGCCTTTTGTATGATAATTGTGTATGTGATTAATTCCTTCCCAAGATAAATGTTAAAACTGTGTCCTTATTCTCAAAGGGGCTCCTGCATTTTACTCATTCTATGGGCTGATAATGTTCTTGAATGGAGGAACATGGTCATCTGTAACTCATGAAGAAGTTGAAGAAGCACAGAACTACTATTAAGGACATGAAAAGATATTTTCTTTTGAAACAAGCTATGCAATCTCTCCCATAAAATGCATGAATGCAGTTCTATCTTTTCCTCTCCAGCTGGAAATCAGCTAGATCTTTTTGTTGGGTTTTGTTGTTGTTGTTTTGGGGGTTTTAATTTTTTTTTTTTTAATTTTTACTTCCAGTATTGTTTAGGTACTGGGACCTGAAGACAATCATATATGTATTCATTATTGTTCTAACAGTCAATAGAAGGGCTCTGTCACTTACATGGCTTCTGTATCAAGGTCATCACAATTAAAACTTTTGAAGCATTCTGTTGTGCTTTGAGAATTTTTAGGCTGACCACATACTAATTTCCTTTCTGATCATTATTCCAATTGCTATAAAGTTAAATCTTTCAAAGAATGAAATGTGTTATATAGAAAACTGTTAAAGTAGAGAACCTAACCTGTTTATCATTTCTGTAGGGATGCTGATGCCTGTCTACCTCAGAAACTCTTCTGTGTGGTGAGCTTGCAGGGTAGCTTGCTGTTCAGGTTTACACACTATGAATAAAGAAGAAATATTTACCTAGTAGCATGTGTGTACATTAAAAGTTTCAATGGAAGTTTTGGATATTCAAAGTATACAGGACAGACATGTCTAAGATTGCACAGTGAAAATGACAGTAATTTTTACATTTATTTGTAGAGCTATCATGTTCATTCATGTTTATAGCATTTTAATGCTTCCTCCTACTGATTTCTGTCTAGATAAAGAAATTAAAACCTGAATTCCCTTACCCAAGTTAAAATTAACAGAAATCAATCCTCATATTCAGTTCTGATTGAGTAAAAAGAGATTCAAGCCTGTTTTTCATTTTGAGCAGATTGAGTTAGATCTATTAGCTGATATATTTGCAAGACATTGGCATTAAGATAGATTATGTTAAAGTTACTTCCTCTTAACTGAAGGATCAGCCTAATTTTATAAAAATTTCTTTCAAGACAGACACTTAATCTTGGAAGCCTTGTGAGGTGTATAGGAAGATATGATTAGGATGTATTTGTAAAATACGATGTGGAAAGATTTGAGATCAGATTATCCAGATAAAAAGGATCTGGTGCTGATGACATAGGTCAGTTCCTTTTGGCATCAACATTCTTCTGTGTGTTATGATTATTAGCTAAAATTCCTGTTTTCCTGGCACTGTGTGTCGTTCTTGGGTTATACCATGCTCTGCTCTTAAAGGATGAGTGGCCCTGGAAGTGCTCAGTGTGTTGTTAACCTGGGTCCTCTCTGACCTAAATGCCACAAAGCCCTTAGGAGACATGGGAGCTTGCAGCCAGATGTTTGACCTTGGAGTCATCCACCTGAGCTGAGAAACAAAGAGAAAAATAAATTAGAGGCACATTGTGGAGAAATATTCCTGTTCACAGAGACGTGTTCCAGCAAAATACTGCAGATACAAATGTGTGCAGCTGTCTAACTGCCTTTATCTTTTTGACTTGCATTCATGTGCTGTAACAAAAACCAGAGCAGCATTGTGTCCCTGGCGTTTGAGAGAGGTCTGTGCACTCAGTCCTCCAGCACTGCCTGGTGGTGGGTGAGTATTTCCAGCACCTGGTGGCAAAGGTGAGGGATGGATTTCTGAAGAGCTTTGTATTGGTGCTTTCACAGCTGGCTGTAGCTGGATGTCTTGTGACTAGCAGTTTTCTTACAGCAAGATTGTTGAGTAGCTCAGTGGGATGCAAATTTAATCCTGTCAAAAGGTACCAAACCTGCTGGACTTTGGCAGTTGTATTACTGGCACAATCTAGCAGATTCTCCAGCAAGTGTTTCTTCAACCAGCCTTACTCTAAAAGAACTATCAGGCCACGTGGAAAGAAACTGGAACAGTAAAAGAGGTTTAGATTAAAACAGTTTTGGATTTGGCCCAAAAGTAAGAGGACATACATTTTGAATTGCAGAAAAGTGTTAAATATAAACAGACATTGCTATATTTACAAAAAAAAAAAAAAAAAAAAAAAAAAAAAAAAACCATTTCATTTTTTTGGACAAAGAAAAA